GTAAGTGGCATCAAAATATAGTCTAATTTTATCTAAGTAGGTGTCGTGTATCAAAATGATCTTTAGGACATAAGACAAACAACTTCTCTCAGTTGAGAAGTTTATTTAGAATTGTATAATTAAAATAATACTTGGATCTTGTTGGATTGAGAAGCCACAGTCAGAGTGCTGTTACTCTTCTTTTCTCGCCCCAAAAAGAGTCACGACCAAAGGTTACAAGAGGTTATATTTGTTTATATTAAGCATTGTGATTGGTGGACTATATGATGGGACACAGCCGTGGTTTAGACTTGGTGCTCAGACTGGTCCCAGTCTCTTGGCACACGGCCCAACCACTTCCGAATAGACAGCGCCCTAAAAGAAAATGAATAATTCCACCATGCTTTACCTCCACTACGATATCATTTATGAAACTAGAGCGACGGTCAGAACTGGATGCTTCCGACCTTGGAGATAATCCATTCTTCCTCCCGTGGGCAGGTGTTTGCAGCTAGTGTAGCTCACAAGCAGAGATGAGACTGTGTCAGTGTTTTTTTATCTTTATTAGCTTTATAAAATGCAGGCTTTCACATCTATGTGTATTAAAATATATTGAAATGACTAATCCCTAACGTAGGTATGGAAGCCCATTTCTGCCAGTGTCACAAAAGTCATTATAATGAGAAACTTATCAAAAGTAATGACATAGTGTCACAAAGTCAAAATATTGAGGAACTTTTGCATTATGACTTAAAGAATCCTTTATTTTCTCTATTACATTGGCACAAATGGGCTTCCGTAAATAGGGTTGCATATGTTAAAAAAAAAAAAAAAAATATATATATATATTTGATAATATAGAAAGATACTCTGAAGAGAATATTGTGTCAGTTCGACTCTAACAGCAGAGGTCTAATGTCACCATAATGATAACTGCATTTATGATTAATTTTATCCCATAATTTCAGCTTTTTATTTTACAATTTCAAACTGTTTAGCTCATAGTTTGGACATTTTATCCAATAATCTTTACTTTTTATCTCAAAAGCTATGAATTTACATAAGATAATATTTGGATTAACTGTAAAGCCTGTTAGATCCCGAGTTACCCCCTTGTCGGTGGTACTGGAGCAGCTCTCTGTTAAAGGGTCCGAGCCTCTTGCCTGTAGGTACTACCCTGCCAGATTCAGAAGAGGACCATTTAGGTTTTGTGTGTTATTGGCCATTCTTGGTTCCTATTTTTGTTCTTTAGTAACACTGTGTTACTATCTAGAACTTTACTATATCAGATACTTCGTACTTGGCTTGGACTGCAGCGGCTGCCGGATGGTCTCGTGCTTTAACCCACACCCGTGCCGTGCGTTGTATCGACCGCACACTTCACAGGCTTTGAGGACTTGTTGAATTCGGCTTATTGGAACCCAAAGTCGCTGTTTGTCCAATTATATCCTGGTGGGCTTGGTGCCTGCATGGCCTAGCGCTTCATGTACGGCCTGCACCACCTCCACCACGGATTCTTCTGGGACCACCCTTCCTTTGGGTGTCTTTTCCCACGTCTCGATTCCAACAAAGACGATTCTTCTCTGTTGTACGTAGCAATCCACTGCGCCTTCTTTCCCATGGGCCTTCTGATGTACTACATCTAAGTCCATTTTTAGCCGTAGCTTAGTCTTGATGAGCTACCTTCTTGCCCTTGGCCCCCTCAAATCTATTTTCTTCCCAGATGGTGAGGTCTTCTTTGAGGGCCTGGGCACAATAGTAGCTCTCTGTTATTATTCTTGCTCTCTTAATTTTGCGTTTCTCTAATTCTAGCAGTCCTTCCAGTATTGTAGTTACTTCACCCGCCTGGGCGCTTCCGGGTGCTCTCCCTTTCTGCCTGAACTGTTCTTTCTCGTTTTGTTTGAGAATGTCGCTCCAATAGGCTGTGAGTGTCGATCTGTCAGTGTACATGATCCATTCATGGGGTTCTTCCTCTGTTTGCTGGGGTTTCTGTGATTTCTTATTATTTGGCTGAGCTGGGCCAATCTCAAGGTCAGGGTCTAGCAAAATGTTTTCCCACCTTTGCCACCTTGTGTTTGTTGCTTTAGTGCTTTCAGTGGTTTCTTTCCGCAGGTACTGATGTACTTGGCTTTGGGTGATAACCTTGATGCCTTGGCCTTGGGCTAGATCTTTCATGTTACTCCAGTATTTAGCCAGGGCTGCCAGTTCTTTCTCCTCCTGCGGGAATTTCTTCCCTACTGAGGATAGAGTGTAGCTCCACAAGGTTACCGTTCCCCCTCCTTCGTTGTTCACTTTCACCACTGCATTGTCATCTTCACAACTTACTTCAGCCACTAGCCTGGTGATGAGACTCCTTGGCTCCAGTCTGACGGCTTCTTGAATCGCCGTCTTCAGTTTTTCCAGATTCTCCTGATCCGTGGCTTCCCAAATCCACCTTTTGGAGGATTTTGTATCCGGTTCTTCTTCTTTCTTCAGACAGGCATACAGGGGTTTGGCATACTTATGGTAGCTCAGTACGTGGTCTCTTACGTAGTTAGAGAGTCCCAGTATCTTCTGTAGGTCATTTTCTGATGTTGGTGGGCTTATTTGACTTTTGTATTATGCGACTGCTTGGCCAATCTCAAGGAAAATAATCCTTTTGCCAGGCCAATTCATGATTTGGATTTCTTGATCTGTAGCGTCTTCAGTGCCCCTTTATGGATTGATCAGACTCGCTGTGTTGGCTACTGTTCGTCGATTGAGGGCCTTAAAATTGATCAGCGGTCTCCATCCACCGCCTGCTGATTCTGGCTGTTTCACCGCTTGAATTGGGCTGTTGGTGATTGGGTTTGGTTCTTCTCTGATGATTCCCAGTGCCCTTAGCTCCTTTACTATCTTGTCCATTTCTTGCACCACTTCTGGGTTCAGTGGATGCTGTCGCAGTGGTGGGTGAACCCCTCCTTCGATGGTGTGGATGTATTTGGATCCTAGGTCTCCGGAATCATTTTTGAACCTGGATACTGTGGCTTTAGAAATTATCTTCCTCAGTTTGTCTTTCCCCTTCGGAGAAATATCGCTTTCTTGTAGTTTCTTCTCCGTGGTTTCTGGTATGTCTACTGCTTTATACCATTTTTCTCTTTGCATCTCATCTGTAGCTCATGTTAACCTCACCACTCTGGGTTGTAACATGTCCACTCTGTGTCTCAATGGCCTTTGTAATCTTTTTGGAGTATTGAGTTCCTTCAAATCTTGGGTTGAGATGAGGTTATAGTCCACTAGGTATGGTTCTCCATCCACTTTAGCGTCGATATCTTCCCCTACCCAGTATCTATGCTCCAGATCCCAAGACCTCACTGCAGCATCCATTTCACGGACAGTAGTGTAGTCAGCCGGCATCTTGACAATGACAAAGGTCCAGTCTCAGTGCTTTCACATAACGTTTGGGAGTTATCTCTTGTTTCAGGCTATACCACACCTGAGTTAGGGTTTGGCCCTGGTCCAGCCCCGCTCAAGCCCTGGCAATGTGCGCATCTTCGTCCTCGAGGTCTTCCAGTACCAATCTCTCATAGTTCTGTGCTGGCTCTCCCTTGTCAAATGGTTTACTGGTGACGTGGCTGAGCCACAGCCTCTTACCGTCTTCATTGGTGGTGTTTGCCTCGATGAGTCTCCAAACTTCCTTTAGGTATTCTCTTGTATCTTCATTGAGCCTCTTGCTTCGTACTAAGGCCTTGAGTTTCTTGAACTCCCTAAACTCTTGCTCATTTGTTTGGACCTCAGTCAGGCCAGGCTTAGATTCTGGCTCGGCTTTAGGGACTGATAGGCTTGGTTGTGGATGGGTGGCTTCATCTTCACCCGAGGAGATTTCCTTCTGCATCTCCAGCATTGTTTTGTTTGCTAATTTGACTGCTGCCTTTTTCATTCTTCTCAGCAAAACGTCGTGAATAACTGCTGTGTACCCTGTTCTAAAATTGCTATTGCTAAAAGCACTATAATAATTTGCTGTTTAGATAATAATTAAATAACTGAGCATTGTATGAGCGGAGGTCAGGTTTCTTTCTGAGTGCAGAGAGAATCTCTACAGTTTAACACATTAAATAATCTCTTTGACCTCTCTATTAACAAAACCTCCTCAGAGTTTGCTGGAGAGGGAAATCTCTGAACTCCTCATTATCTGAACATCTGCTTCAGTCTGGGAGGAAAACGGCGAACAGATTGCCACATTTTAGCTGGAAAAAACCCAAACAAGCTGAAAGATTCCTCTCTGATCTTTATCCTCTCTCTCTTTAACAGCCGGTGACGTGGAAATCTTTAGCGATAACGGTTGCTATCGGAGGATCTCTGCTCGGGGCGATGAAGTACTTCAAGAAGGAAAAGGAAGAGCGTGAGTATCTCTCAGTGTACGCGGAGGTCGAGTGAAATCAAGCGCTGACGCCTGAATTAATAAACCTTTTAAATCTTTTCGCAGTGATTGAAAAAGAACGGAACAAATCGATTGGCCGACCGGCGCTGGGCGGCCCGTTCTCACTCATCGACCACAACGGCAAACCCGCCAAGAACGAGGACTTCCTCGGCCAGTGGGTCCTCATCTACTTCGGGTTCACTCACTGTCCCGACATCTGCCCGGACGAGCTGGAGAAAATGATCGAGGTGGTGGACGAAATAGGTGAACGCAGCCGTTTCACAAGAGAGATTCTGTGCCTCGGTATCCTTGTTCTTCTTAAACGTTCTTCACGTTCTCTGTTTGTTCCGCAGATAACATAAAGCCTATCCCGAACCTGACGCCGATCCTCATCACCATCGATCCCGAGAGGGACACGCCGGAGGCCATGGCTGCGTACGTTAAAGGTAAAACCCCACGACCACGTCGGTTTTCTATACGGAGTAAAATGTGGTTTCATCGATTGGGTTGAATCAGAAGAATTTACACTATTTTACATTTTTATACATTTATCTGTAAGAGCGCAGTTTGAGTCTGAGATCGACTGTTTCACTGCGACAATAAACAACTTGAATTTAAGTGCTTAAGCTCGTTTCCCGTATTTGGTTCTGAAAATAAAAACACATTTATAAATGGTAGTTTTCTCATTTTATTGGCCATTAAATAAACTGACCCATCAAGTGCAGAACATCACCTAAAATTTAAAGCTAAATGTCCAACAATAACAACAACAATAACAACGATGCTCCCAGGCTTCAAACCATGCATGTGATGATTTTTCCTCTACATAATAGGAGAGCGACAATAACAGGATATAATGTTTTTTAAAAAAAGGATTCTATAAGCTTGTATTTTTGTATTTTTCCACCTCAACACCAGAGCATGTTTAAGACATTGCACATAATGTGATGTATATGAAGGAATAACAGAAAAGTAGAATAATAAAGTAGAAAAGTAAGGAATTTTCATCTTTTGTTGGCTATTTTTACTGTTTTCACTACAGTTTTATTACTTTTACTAAAGTAAAATATCTGAATACTTCTACTGCTGCTATTGGGCCACAGGTATCAAGATAGATAAGATACATTTCCAAAATATGAAACCTTATGTGCATTATCAACTCTATATCCCATGTCGTCATATATTAATATTTAATAGGAAAAAGAGGAGCTACATTTAAAAACAGAAAAGTAGAATAAATGTAATTTTATGTTTAATTATTTGAGGTCAGAGATCCCAGTTCTGCCATAAAAAGAGAGACATATTCTCAGGAAGTCACACCAAAACACCAATAATTATCCTCAAATATTTAACTAATTTAGATTATTCAACCACAGTATTTATCTGTATATTCTGCTTTATCACAGTTTTATTAACTTGCTTTTATTGCATTAAGTCTAACAGATGCACACTGTAATATCCTTTTTCAGAGTTTTCCCCGAAGCTGATCGGCCTGACTGGAACAAGAGCTCAGGTTGACGAGGTTTCCAGAGCCTACAGAGTTTATTACAGTCAGGGACCAAAGGATGAAGACAACGACTACATTGTGAGTTAAAAGCTGCTCTCGTGTTACGACGAGGTAATAAAGGAAATCTCTGTCTGAACGCCACCTCTCGTTGTCTTTTAGGTGGATCACACCATCATCATGTACCTCGTCGGACCCGACGGGGAGTTTGTGGAGTATTTTGGTCAAAACAAAACAAACGTGGAGATCAGCAACTCGATAGCAGCACATATGAGAAAGTATAAGAAGGCAAAGGGAGCCCATTAAAGCTCACTGTGGACTGTTTGAACTTTAATACTGACGCACTCTATTTATTTTATATCTGCAGTAACAGTCCTTTCTATGGAAGCTCTAATTCTGCTAAAGTGACCAAGAAAAAGGATTGTTAGTCATTATAATGAGAAATGTCTCAAAATATTGACTTAGTATCAAAGATATTGACTTAATATCTGAAAATATTGACATATAATCTCAACTTTGTGTCATTAAGTCAGAATATTGAGAGTTTCTTACTATAAATAGTAATAATTCAAATAATAATACATTTCTTTTCCTCGTCACATTGGCAGAAACGGGCTTCCATGCCTTTCAGCGAGTCGTGTGCAGGAAAAAAAAAATCAGATCTGATGCCTGACTGACACTGTTCTCCATTATTACCCATAAAACACTTCACGCTCCTGCTGACTGGACACAATTTGACTGCTTTCAAATTATTGCACACGTCAGCTCCGCTGAGCTCCAACAGCTCTCATTTCTCACCTGAAGACAAATGTTGTAAATGAAGTGATTTGATTTTGTGATAAAATACAAAATACAGCCGTGTGTTGGATTTCTTTTTGTGTGTGTTTGACTTTCAATACTTAGCTTCTTGTATTCTTACATCCAACTGAACTAGTGCAAAGCTGAACAGCAGTAACAGAAACCCTACAGTATGTGAAGGATTTGAACATATCTCCCAGTATTACTAGACACTACAGCAGTTTGCACCAGGATTGTTTATAAAATATATATAAATATATGTATTTGTAAGTCAGTATTTAAGACTTTTTTTAGTGGTTTCCGATCAATTTAGGGTCAAATCTTCAAAATATGTCAGAAAGGAGGCTGATGGGAACGTTTTAATATGTAATATTTATAAGTAATACAAGATTTTATTGTATTAAAAACCACAGGTCATTTCCTACGTGATCCATCCTCAATCCCACAATATCTGTCACTACATATTAATAATTAACACACAGTAAATAGGAGCTACATTTAGAGAAACATCACATTTATTCTAACCTGGACTCGCCACCAGCCGGTATTGATTTATTAATATCTCCTCCGCCTGCACACCTGTCGCGTTCCTCCTTTAGAAATGGGATTAGAAAAGCAAACACAGCAGTTGTTCAGCTCTCCGCAGCCAGACGCCGCCGCGCTCATTCCTGGAGGAGAGCGGCCTTTCAGCTCTCAAAATGGAACAAATTGATTTCAGGGTTGATAAGTTATTTTTAAAAGAACAAACCTCCTGAGACTTCATCCGTTTCCAAGCATTTCACTCGACCTTTTCCATTTATGTTTCTTTAAATATAATAAACTCACAAAGCCTGTTTCACATACATTGAACTGGGTGGAAGAACCTCCTGAAACACATAAATTCAGTTACTTCACCTACCAGCACCGTAATTAACATGTAACATCTCGTTTGTTGTAAAAACAACAAGACATTCACACATTGGATTAACCTTAAACTGGTTGGCTAATGTAACGTTTGTTTAAGTCCAGGTGAAATGAAAAACGTCATTTTAACCCTTTAAGATTGCGTCCTCAGTTATATTGTACAACCATTTAACAATGTAGGCCTAAAAAAATGTAGAAAAACTCAATTTTAATATCAAAATCTCTCTTTTTTCTTCCAATAAAATGTGAAAATGTGACGCCTGCTTTAACTGCCTGCTATGCTAATGCTAAAACACTGGACAACAATTGAGTAAATCTAAAAGCATAATGTCGATTATAAAGCGTTCGATTTACTTCGGAAGTCTGAAGTCGGAGCTGGGACGACTCCCAAAACCAAAACCACCAATAGGAATCCTTTTTAACATCCTGTGTATATAAATAATGTTTGATTGATTAATTGAAGTGCAGAAATTACCAAAAAAAAAAACTTATTTTGGAAAAGTGATTTGTGTGCGTTGTGCTGTGTGTGACTGTGTTTGTGACAATAGAGTTGATTATATTTAAACTGCATTACAACCTCCCATTCATCAGATTTTTACGTGTGAACTCCGTCGACAGTGAAATGTTTCTGGATGTGTTTTTTGAGACTGAGACGATCATCCTGTGTGTGGCTTGCAGTAGCTTTACTCCCGGTCCTCGTCTCTCCCGTTGACCCCCTTTAATCCTGTGCAGATGCACCCGTCGTCAGATCTATTCTCCCCCGTCTCACCCATCGGCCTCTCTCCCACACAACCAGCTGATGGGGATTTTCTCTCTGCTTCTTCTCTCTCTTGTACCGTGACCCCTTGAATTAACGTCTGGTGGCCTCCTCGCAGTCAAACTTCCCCACACACACACACACACACACATATTTGCCGCCGTGTCGAGACGTGACAGAGGGGTCAGCGGACTGTGGTCTGCCTGCCCGGGCCCGCGCTCGTCTACCCAGAGCCAATTATAATCGCAGCTGTTGCCAGACCTTCAAGTGACATTAAGAGGCTATTAAATCAGCACCAATTAGTCTGTCTGTGATGCACTGCCAGACAAAATGCCCATATCATACAGCTCTTCCCCTCCAGAACACCGAATCATTTCCTCTGGGGAGGAACTGGGAGGATTGTTGAGGCTCAGTCCAGCAGACTGAAATGTCTGTATTTACTTGTGTGTGCAAAGGTGGATTAATACTTGATTTTCTTTAGTTAACAACAGCAGGTAAAGCAGTAAGCAACAGTGGATACAAGTTGATATAAGTGAATAAATAATAACTAACGAAGGAAGGGTGCCAGAAGGTAAAAATCTATTTGATTTAATTACGTCAGTTCTGGAGGTTTTACACAATGAATAGTGGTTTGATTGAGGCTTCAGAATAAGGCACTTCAGGAGACAGGAGAGGTTAAATTACTAGTTTTTACATGAATAGACATGATACAGTATATTCTTTTAGTCTTAGTTTGATGGAACAGGATCCAGTGTGGAGGATTTAGTGGCATCTCAAGGCAGCACAAGGTTGTATGATGAAATGAAAGTCTGCAGTTTCTTCATGCTTCACACACAGAAACATATTTAATAAATTCATAGAATAACATAGAAAATAAACAAGAAATTAAACCATTATATACAGTTTATTTATTTACATATACACCCAGGAAATAGATGAATTTGCGTCTGGGGGAATGTAAACAGGAGCATCCCCTCTCTCCCCCCCACTCACTCTACAGCTGTCACTATGGATTAAAAGAAACTATATTAGGAAATATTTAGGGGAAAAAGAATCAGAATCAGACATCATTCAATAATGTTTCCAGCAGTAAAGCCCAAATAAAATACACATTAATACAAAAATATAGCAAGTTTTACTAGCGGTGGTGTCTCTACTTGATGACCAGTGAATGACAGCGGGCTGTAAAGTGTGTATGAAAAACTACGGTGGCCACGAAACTCGCAAAAAAGTGTAGATCTGGATCTAGTGTTTGGTTAGTCTGTTCTGGGCTACTGTAGAAACATGGAGGTTCAACATGGCGGACCGTTCCCTCTGTAGATAAAAACAGCTCATTTTAAGGTAACAAAAACACAATAATTCTTATTTTCAGGTAATAACACTCTAATAAACACATACATATGAATATTATATTACATTTCTACCAATAGATCCTCCTCAATGTGACTCACTGGACTCTTTAAAGCGGTGGGAACATTACAGTGAATCTGAGAATTCAAGTTTAATATAATATTTAATCTGAAGCCAGAGTACAAACACACAAACACAGGTTGAAAATAAACACACCACTCGCTCTAAATGTGGAAAGTCTTACTGGAATAAAGACTTTGTGATGATGAGGATGAAGATAAAACACAATAAGCAAACCTTCCAGTAAACTCACGGTGAACTTTAAAGGCACATGCTTGTGCTATATTGACTTCTGGAGACACATGAATAGAAACCCTCTTAAAGGATTCTGAGCGGATCTGTGCTGGATTTGTTGTTAACCTTGTTAGCTGGGAGGCGGATGGAGGTTTTTGTTCTGAAGCAAGTTTATATTTCTGTGTGAAATTCTGAGCGGTGCTTAAAAGATTTTAGTAGAATTAAAAAGGGACTTTGGGCTACAGACGCAGACGTTTTACTGTCCTTCAGAAGTTATTCATAATTCTTTAATCTGACAATGATTCCCTTGATTTAATCGTTTGACTTCATTAAGATACAAAAATATACACATAACGAATGATAGAAGCATTTATCAGCATATTAGAGTTAAATTCATTCCCATAATTCTGGCGATAATTATTATTATAATTATTATTTTATATAATAATAAATAAAGGTCCAGTGTGTGACATTCAGGAGCATCTACTGGTAGAAATGGAATATAATATTCATAGGTGTGTTTTCATTAGTGTATAATCACCTGAATATAGGAATCATTGTGTTTTTGTTACCTTAGGAGGCGAGTTTCATGGCCACCGTAGTTTCTGCTCCACACTTCACACGCTGGCAGTGTTCAGTTAGTTGAAATCTCAATTTGATACAGCCATCTCTGGAACATACTATATTTAGTCTAGAGTCAGTAGAGGTTTCTCACTTTATCCCAAACATTACAAAAAGCTGTATTTTTAATTTATATGACCTTATTTTTACCAGGAATATAGATTTAAAATCTCTCTTAGAGGGGAGTCCTGGCCAAGACAGCAGCATAAAGTTTCAGAAAGAAGAAAGAACAATACAATAAAACAGTAAAACATTAAAACAAACAGCACAAAAACTTCACATACAACAAAACAAACAGCAGGCAACAACAACAGTAAATCCAGTTTAAGGCGACTCTGTAGCTCACAACAAGATGAGGGTGTAAAAACTTTAAAAGCACTTGAATGAAATACTTAATTTGTCCGTGATCAAAGGTTACAACTACTGATGCTAAATAAGAAGTGTGTAACGTGGCCTTAAAATGTCTCCAACATCTGCACAATGGCAATACTGGACCAAGAGAAAGCAACAAATTATAATGAATCATTATTATTACAGTCCAGAATATGTGTTGTCAAACATTATGAAGATCTGAACATCCAAACTTATTGTTCTGGAGGTGTTTTCCTGTTAAAACTATTTAAAAAGTTAGTGACAAAGTGAAAAGAATAAGCTTATGTTCTAAAGAAAGAAAAACTCCGACCCAACCCAACCTGAACCACAGAAGCAGTTTTGGGCCCAATAAACAAGATAAAGTAAACTACATTGTGTATTAATTACAGTTACATGTATTATTAATCAAATATTAAATATATATATTCTTAAAACCTAATTCTGTCTGAGCCCAACCTACAGCAGCAGTTTTGGGCCACAACACTTTTGCTTAGCTCAGTTAGGGATAAGAGCAAAGGGGAATTATACTGTTGAGATTTTTGGGTTAATGCTAAATATGCATAAAAAAAATACCCCAATAATGGGTTAATAGAGTCAGGGTCTCTCAGGTCTGCAGTGTGCTAAATGTTGCCCGTCAACCCTCCCAACACAGAACCCAAACAGTCGTGTGTGTGTGTGTGTGTGTGATCAGCTCGGCTCTTCCAGACAGCCAATGCCACAATTTCAGCGTCACCCTAACAGACCTAATCTTCCCTGATCCCAGAAAATGAGGCCCGCCATGTCGGGACCGTAAGCCCTCTAAGCTGCAGTCCTTAGCATTCATTGCTTTTTAATGGACAGTCTGAAGGATTACAATTGAAACCGTTTAAAAGTGACACAATACAGCTATACATAGACAGTTCGAAATACAAAATGGACATACTTGAGTTTTCCAAGGTGGCGTAGGAGCCAGATCTCCAAATATAGGCCCCGACCATCGCTTATAAAGGCTGTTAAAGTCTAGTTAGGGTGAGGGATGTCTGTGCCGTCTGTGGGGAATCTTATTCGAAGGCTCTGAGAGATTTGATCGTTTGCAGTTATCTCAAACCCCGACCAACGTCTGCGCATTATTCTCAAGTGCGTGTTCGTCCCGCTCGTGCAGCTACTGTCGATAAAATGAGCGACGCAGAGATGGAGATATTTGGGGTGGCTGCCCCGTACCTCCGCAAGTCAGAGCGGGAGAGGATCGCAGCCCAGAACACGCTGTTCGATGCCAAAACAGCCGTCTTTGTGCCCGACCCGAAGCAGGAGTACGTGAAGGGAAAAATCAAAAGCCAAGACGGCGCCAAGGTCACCGTGGAGACTGAGGATGGGAAGGTGGGTGTTTCTAAAAGCAGAGACTCTCACATTGTTTCCTGTTTTTATCATTTCATTGAGCGGAAACGTTTTGAATTCACTCTTCAGGTTGTAACAGTTCACCTGGACGACATCCGACCCATGAACCCTCCAAAGTTTGACAAGATCGAGGACATGGCGCTGCTGACGCATCTCCATGAACCCGCTGTGCTCTTCAACCTCAAAGAGCGCTACGCTGCCTGGATGATCTACGTAACCCACTGATTGTTTTCTGTTGTCTGATTGAACAAACCTGATTAATATTTTGTTTTATCATGCTGGTTTTTGTCTTCTCTCGCGTTCACAGACCTACTCTGGACTCTTCTGTGTGACTGTGAACCCTTACAAGTGGCTTCCAGTCTACAACCCAGAGGTTGTGGCCGGTTACCGCGGGAAGAAACGTCAGGAGGCCCCCCCACACATCTTCTCCATCTCTGACAACGCCTACCAGTTCATGCTCACAGGTCCACTCCCATCATATAATATATATAATATATATTACCAATCTTTTTACTGAGAGAAGCAATACTTCAGTGTATAAATACTTGTTACCAAAGTGTAAAAGTAGCATAAAAATACACTTAAAATTCCAAAAAGTAATGCAGAATGTCTTATTTCAGAATAATATCACTGTAAAACCTCATAAGTTAATTTAGTTGTTGTCTTTATTTGTACTGTTAAAAAAACTAAATACCTTGTAAAATGTTTTTAACCTTTAGAATTGAGTTAAAATAAGTGTTAGAGTGTATTATTTTACTGTAACACGAGTTAACCTGTAAAAACAGCTGACGTATGATTAAAAACAACTTGGGGGGATCATTAAGAATTATTTGGATGCATACTTGAGCTTATGATGATCAATAAACTGAATTATAAAAGAATTATATCGCCTGTACTGAAAACACTGAACACGTTTAAGTTCATGTAAAACAAATGAGTTGGGTTTAATTAATGTGAATGAGTGACTCCAATTTGTTGGAGGATTAAGTTATATTAACTTATTTTATTAAGGTTTTATATTCAGGTTTTATAGTGCAACTAAAAAGACTAAACATAAATAAGAATGAACACTGACTCCTCAAACTCAGCTGGAATATATCGAATGTTTCACCCAGTTTCTTTCCCTTTGAACAGATCGAGAGAATCAATCTATCCTGATCACGTAAGTGTGACTTCATGTGTTGTTTCCTAAAAGATAATCAATATATATCTATATACATATAGATATATATTATAATGTCCCATCACTCATGTCATGCCGTCCTTTCCTCAGTGGAGAATCTGGTGCCGGTAAGACCGTCAACACAAAGCGAGTCATCCAGTATTTCGCAACAATTGCGTCATTTGGAGACTCGAGCAAGAAAGAGCAACCTGCTGGCAAAATGCAGGTTCGTCCCTCTTCTGTTAACGATCTATCAATATATTGATCAGGGTTTGAAAGCATGTGTTAACACAGCAGTTTGTGTTCTTGGTGGGAGTTTTTAGGGGACTCTGGAGGATCAAATCATCCAGGCCAACCCTCTGCTGGAAGCTTTCGGGAACGCCAAGACTGTGAGGAACGACAACTCCTCCAGATTTGTAAGTTCAGTACGGAAGCTGAGCGCCGCCATTATGATTAAACTTGTTGTTATAACTGATTTTTGAATCCTGTTGATAATGACAGACTGAATCTGCTATCACAGGACCTTTGTGACGCTGATGTAAAGAGACAATTGAGATAATTAAGCAACACAAGGACAGAAATAAGTACACAAACAGATAAATAAGTAATTAAAAGTCTATAAAATACGACCAGAAATACAAAGTATACAAGAACTAAACTCAAAATTATAATTTATACTGCAGTACAGTCTCAGTGGTGTGACTAGCAGCACATAGAGAGATATGATACTGTAACAGAATAATAAACTTAATATTTATCTGTTTTAATATATAAATATGTTATAGTACATGTAATAAAACAGTATATTATATAAACATTGTATAATAGAGTATTGGATGTAAAATATAATCAGACTTGGGGAGACTTGGGAGAGGCAACTAATCCATTACAGTTACAGAAATAAAGACATAATCAGATTACAGTTACATTCAGGAAAAAAATAGTTTTAAAGAAAGATTACAGAAGAAAGGTCACACTGTTTCTTTTCTTCTTTCTTTTTATTTACATATTTGGTGTTGAGGTAATTATTGTGATACTTTTAGGTTACTGACTACATTTTTTAACAGGTAATTAGTAACTGTATCGGATTACATTTTGAATATAATATATGGTGATAATGTAGTAACATAACATATTGTGTAGTATAACATGAAACATGGCTCCCAAAGTGGAACCCCAGAAGGTTCATTTTGGCCCGCTAGCTAAAAGACATAATAATACTTTTTTTAAATAATATAATTCACTATTTATGCTGTTTTATTGATTTTTTGGGGGGGGTAAAAATGCTCTATATATTAATAATTGTTCATAATCTGAGTACAGCAGGCAAAGTGTCACTGAAGGGATCTTAGTAGCATTTTGCTTTTTAAAAACACAAAACAATCTCTCCAAGTAAAAAGTTTGAGCATAAACTATTAAACATAATAAACTATACAGAGTACAGAATAATATGTAGTAAATGTTACATAATACATAATAACATGTAAAGAATATTATATGTTTTAGTAGTCGAGACATTTTAAGTTGTAATATATTGTAACTAATGTAATAATGTAACATTATAACACATAATAATAATTTAATAACATTTCCAGGGAAAATTCATCCGCATCCACTTTGGAACGAAGGGGAAGTTGTCGTCAGCGGATATTGAGACGTGTAAGTTTGCTCATAGTGTCACTGACATTTCACTTATTAAGTATTAAGTTCTATAAGATATATTTTATCTTTGTTTATATTCATGATCAGACCTTTTGGAAAAATCCAGAGTGACGTTTCAGCTGCCGGCAGAGAGGAGCTACCACATCTTCTATCAGATCATGTCCAACAAGAAGCCTGATTTAATAGGTAAATACACCCGTAACTATTCGCCTTAAATGTCTTATTTCTATACCGGTGCTGCACTTCGACCCTGCACAGACGAATCAATACTTTCTGTATTTCCTTTTCAGAGATGATGCTGATAACCACCAATCCATATGACTTCCCTTTCATCAGCCAGGGTGAAATCACTGTGCTGAGCATCAATGACACCGAGGAGCTGATGGCCACAGACGTGAGTGTGTGTGCGTCAGATATACTGTATATGTGTGTGTGTGTGTGTGTGTGTGTGTGTGTGTGTGTGTGTGTGCAGAGAAATGGAAATCAAGACATTTTTAAACTCTTTTGTTAGTTTTAGTTGATTACAGTTTGATTGCGATCATTAATTCATCATATATTATCATAAAGTATCATAAGGATCAGAATCAGGTTTATTCCCAACTAAGTTTCATATTCAAGGAATTAGCAACAATAAACGTAGTAAGAGAAAAAGAATAAAGTCAAGAGTCAGAATATGTTAAAAGAAACTGGTTATAGGAACTGAATATAACTGAATATAAGAATCGTTGTGCTTTCGTTACCATAGAATGAGATGTTTTTATCTACAGACGCCGCGGGTCTCCTTCCGTGTTGAACCGCCATGTGTCTATATAAACACTGGCTCTAAATAGGGGCGTCCACATTAGCCACTGTAGTTTCTAGCTCACACACCCCTTCAAGAATCACACATCACATAAAACAATGAACATGTTTTAGAGCTCCCCCCGGCTAAACGTCTCAAAGTAGACTTTCAGGTGAGCTCGAGTCGAAATTCAAACCATTTTCAAATGTATGAAATAGTGGAAATCTGTATTTATGCCTCATGGTTAAGGCAGCAGGGGCCACCTCATTATGCTTCCCTCTTCCACCCCACACTGTCTTTCAGAGGCTGTAGCTGCTGTTTTACAGCTAGAGTTAAGATACTTAGATGACCTGACGCATCCATTGTTAGCAACCATGTTATGTTAACAAGTCGGGAAAGAGGCTAAATAATGTTTAATAAAAGTTAGACTAAATTTTGGCGATGGAAAAACTGGCATGGCCATTCTCAAAAAGAGACCCATTGACCTCTGACCTGACTTATTTTAGTGTATTTGGATATTTCTGCATACTGGAGTCCATAAACAGTGTTGGAATTGGATAAATTAGGAATAACTGGAAAACTGAAACACATCCTTCATGCCACTTTCGCACAAGTCAGAGCCCCACTGCTGCAGCCCAAAGTCAAAAAAGTCACCTCTGTCCCCTGGCTTATTTGGTCCTCCACAATGTTGACTCCATCCATGGCTACAACCACTAAAATCTGATTAACAACCAACAGCTACAAATCACAATTAATGTCAGTTAACTCCTGTATCTGTTCCTCCAGAGTGCCATCGACATCCTGGGGTTCAACACGGAGGAGAAGGTGGGCATCTACAAGCTGACCGGGGCTGTGATGCACAACGGGAACATGAAGTTCAAGCAGAAGCAGCGGGAGGAGCAGGCGGAGCCCGACGGCACCGAGGGTGAGACGTCGGAGCTTCAGGCAACACAACAGCTTCACTCTCATGTGTTTATCACGTCAGAAGTTCCAGTATGTGTGCTTTACATCCCACAGTGGCGGACAAAGTGGCGTATCTCATGGGTCTGAACTCTGCTGATTTGCTGAAAGCGCTGTGTTATCCCCGAGTGAAGGTCGGGAATGAGTATGTCACCAAAGGTCAGACGCCGCAGCAGGTACAGTTCACGTGTTTCTGCGTCTTAAAAGGTGTGTTAACTGTGTTGGGTGTGAATGACAGTTGAATTAACAGATTGTGTTTGAGCACAGGTGAACAACGCCATGGGCGCCCTGTCGAAGGCCGTGTATGAGAAGCTGTTCCTGTGGATGGTGACGAGGATCAACCAGCAGCTCGACACCAAACTTCCACGACAGCATTTCATTGGCGTCCTGGATATCGCAGGGTTTGAGATCTTTGAGGTGAACATGTGGAAGTACATTTCTGCCAGTAAAATAAAAAAATATGTAGAAAAATCTGCCTGGATAATGAAATATTGTTCATGTTAAGTCATAATTATGAGATAAACGTCAAAATTATGAGATAAGAAGTCAGAATTTCATTTTTAACTCACAAATTATAACTTTTTATCTTGATGACTTTTATCTTATAAAAATGACTTTTTATCTCAGAATTATATGTTTTTACCCTATAAAATAACTTTTTCTCTTATAAAATAACCTTTTCTCTTATAAAAATCTCAATCTTCAATTTACCATGGGGATATTTTTATTATCACGGCTAAGAATAACAGGATTCTCTCCTGCGTAGAATAAGAAATCTTTCTAGAAATGTACACTTATTGAATCGATATTGTTTAATCCAGATGAACAGCCTGGAGCAACTGTGCATCAACTTCACCAACGAGAAGCTGCAACAGTTTTTCAACCACCACATGTTTGTGTTGGAGCAAGAGGAATACAAGAAAGAGGGGATTGATTGGGAGTTCATTGACTTCGGCATGGACCTGGCAGCCTGCATTGAGCTCATTGAGAAGGTACATCCCCTCTTTATGAACCATTCATATTAACGACAGATGCATTCAAACACTAATCAGCTTTCTGTTCCTGCAGCCGATGGGCATTTTCTCTATTCTCGAAGAGGAGTGCATGTTTCCAAAGGCGACAGACGGCTCCTTCAAGAACAAGCTGTACGACCAACACCTGGGCAAGAACAGCATCTTCCAGAAGCCCAAACCCGCCAAAGGGAAGGCGGAGGCTCACTTCTCGCTCATGCACTACGCCGGCACTGTGGACTACAACATCAGCGGCTGGCTGGAGAAGAACAAAGACCCTCTGAACGAGACTGTGGTGCAGCTGTACCAGAAAGCCTCCCTCAAGCTGCTCTCTCAGCTCTTCGCCACGTATTCCTCTGTTGACGGTCAGTTCACAGACGGGTTGCACCGGCGTTACGTCGCCTTTAAATGTTTATCTCTTACCTTGTTTCTCTTTATGTTTCTGCAGATGGACATAAGAAGAGCTTCAAGAAAAAGGGCTCTTCTTTCCAGACAGTTTCTGCACTTTTCAGGGTAATAATATACGACCATAGCTGAAGGAATCACTTTGATTGATTGATTTGGTGTCAGTATGGAGGCACAGATCAATCATCCTCAACTACCATCAGATAATCTTGAATAGACCAGAAGATTTTTGCAGAATTCTCTTTAAATTTTAATTTTATTTTCATTTTTTACAACTATTTATTTATCTGTTAGTTTATTTAACAGGGACATTAATAAACATTGCATATTTGCTATAAAGTTTCCCTATACAGAACAGAATATACAGTTAAACTGACAGTTACTGAGAGTAATGTTATACGAGTACAATCTTTTAATAGTGTCCTGAGATAACTTCTGTTATGAATTGGCGCTGTACAAATGAAATTGAATTAAAAGTGAATTAAAAATGTCACTGAGATCAGTTGTTAGAATACAGAGATACATAATAATAAAAATATGATCAATTTTAGTTAAAAAAAAAACATCATACTGGACCCTATTATATATTGTCAGGTACTTTATAATACAGAGAACTGAAATGTGGGATATGACATATTATATATGACCCAGACAATATATAAAATACGTATATTCTATCATCTGTTGGAGCTACTGAGTTCACTGTTTTGGTTCATTGTACAGTTTTTAATATAATATGAAATATACATAAAATATGTAACTTAGTCAGTTTACTAAATAATAGAAAAGGGGTCATTAAGGAAAAAGGTTGGGAACCGCTGGTCTAAAATAAGCATAATAATGTATATTAATGTATTTATATTAATGTATTTCTTCTCTTTTTTTGGCCTAAAAGGACATTTAAGCAAACTGAGGTTAAAAATAACTGAATCCTATCATGTGTAACTTAAGAATCATATTAACTGTGCTCCAGATAACAAGACTTCTGTTAACTACAGCCCTGAACATTAGCCCTAAATATTATCTAAACCATTCCTCCAAGTGAACATCAAGACGGACTGTTAATGTCGATCTCCTGCAGGAAAACCTGAATAAACTGATGGCCAACCTTCGGTCCACTCATCCACACTTTGTGAGGTGTATCATCCCCAATGAAACCAAGACACCAGGTAAGAAGAGAGATAAGAAAGATTGACACCACTTTCAAGTCTTTACGTTTTTGTACGGAATAAAGAAGAAGTAATCAGTGGGCTTCAGAAGTGGCTTTTTTCCCCTGTTTACAGTCTTTATGCTAAGCTAAGCTAACCAGCTGTTGGCTCCACATGTCTTCTCCACGCAGGGTCCATGGACCATCATCTGGTCCTTCACCAGCTGCGCTGTAACGGCGTGCTGGAAGGTATCAGGATCTGCAGGAAGGGATTCCCCAGCAGGATCCTGTACGGAGACTTCAGACAGAGGTGATGTGTGGGAGGATTAGACACACACACACACACACACACACACACACACACACACACAACCTAACTGTGACTCTCTCTGAGACAGATACAGGATCCTGAACGCCAGCGCGATCCCTGAGGGGCAGTTCATTGACAGCAAGAAGGCTTCAGAGAAACTGCTCTCCTCCATTGATGTGGATCATTCCCAGTACAGATTTGGATACACAAAGGTATATATAATATATTTATAGGTATTTTAATAAGACGTTTGCCCCCCGGTGTGTAAACTGTACCAATCGGGGAAGCTCACAGTGTCCCTTCACACTGACTGGGACTGGTAGGGTTTATTTATGTATATTTTCTGATCTAAAGTTAATGATGTAGTACAAATAGGAGCCTAAATTTACACATAATCCATGATGATCAATATTTTAGAGCCCCTCCCAAAAAATTCTCTAAAATACTGACAACGTCAGCCCCTCCAGGATTTTACTGACTTATTTTTCTGGCCTAAATGTCATGACATTTCTAGAAAATAGTGATGCATGTAGTGACGTTTTTAAGCTTTTCTATTTTTTCCAATAAAAACTTGTTCCAGTCAGAATAAAATCTCACTGTCTGCAGGGTCAATGTGAGACGTTTGTGTGTTGAAAATGCATCTTCAACACTACAAACAAGGAAGTGTGACTCAACATTTAGTGCAAGGAAATTGGTCAAAATAGCTACAGTAAAATAATTTAATGAACTCAAGAGATTGTCTTCCATATATCCAGGATTGTGTCGGTCTGGACCATTTTAGATTCCCATCATGGACTTTTACCAAAGACTACCAGTGTATGTCATTCTAAAAGAAGTCAGGAAATAGTTCCCACACGTCCTGGAAAACTTTGTAAATGAGCTAAATTTGCTTTCCAGTCACTGAAACACCTGGAACCTGATTAAAATATCCAAATATCCTGGAAATAATCTGTGTTTTTAATCATATTTTAGCCCTTCACCCAGAGTCATGCATGTGATGAATAAAACTGGGGTTAAATGGTCTAATGGTAAATTATTTGACCGTTTGTGAGCAAGTGCTGTTCTTGTATTGTTTTGTAAAAGGTCCTGGAAAGGTCCTGGAAAATGAACCCGGTCGTATCTTCTTGCAGGTGTTTTTTAAAGCCGGCCTCCTGGGTCTCCTGGAGGAGATGAGGGATGAGCGGCTGGCGGTGCTGATGACTCGGATCCAGGCTGTGGCCAGAGGTTACGTCACCCGGCTGAGGCTCAAAGAGATGGCGAAGAAAAGGTCTCTCACAAATCACAACAAACTGTCAGACACTCTAAATAATAACCTATATGATCTACAGGCAAAGAGCAACTGTCCACATGTTACAAATGTTAAATACTCTATAAACTAGGCAGACAAAACCAAAAAAGTGTTACCCTTGTATCTGATATTACTTTAGTTTGATGGTAGCAGTAGAAAATATGCTGGACTTCCCATAAAATAGTTATCTGTAGCCATGTTAGCAGTAAACTGGCAAATGTTAGCACGCTCACACAGTAAACTAAGGTGGTAAACATGGCAAACAGTATACCTGCTTAACATCATCAGTGTTAATGCACTGAACATGTTAGAATAAAATGAGTCGTGGAAAACCTTAAAAAAAGGTCATTCAGATTTGAATCTTTCTCCCTCCACAGAGAGTCCATCTTCATCATCCAGTACAACATCCGTTCCTTCATGAACGTGAAGAACTGGCCCTGGATGAGGCTCTTCTTCAAGATAAAGCCTCTGCTTCGAAGCGCCGAGGCGGAGAAGGAGATGCAGAGCATTAAAGAGCAGTTCTCTCGACTCAAAGAGGAGTTTGCAAAGTCGGAGGCCCGGAGGAAGGAGCTGGAGGAGAAGATGGTCATGCTCGTCCAGGAGAAAAACGACCTTTACCTTCAAATCCAGGCAGTACGTAAACACCCCAAAGTGGTCTGTGTGTATTGATTTTATTCTGTCCGATAAAGAGATTAGGAGAGAATATACTTAAATTCAGCAACTACATAATCAATACTAATGTAAGATAAGTGGAAGCGTCATTGATTGGACACATCGGGACTCAAAAAGTAGAAATAGAATATAAACAGGAACAGAGCAAATCACTTAGAACATATTAGGAGAGAAATACAATAAATATTATTCATTATAATTAAAATATACATAATATTCAAAATATACTAAACAAAATGAACTTTCTAAAATAGCTTTATAGCAAGTGACACGTTAGAAACTTAAATTTAGCACCACACCGCATTCCCTGGTAGTTAATCAATAAATTAATCAAAAGAAATTAATTAAATATTTGGAAAAATATGCTAATTAAAAGTATATACAGTAAAGAAAATGTAAATATATATATATGTTTATAAAAATAAAGATATTCCAACAAAACTAATAAAAAAAGTAATAATAAAATGGGAAAACGTATCGTCACACAACATGTCCAAATGTATAAATGTATGAAATTAAGTAAGAAAAAGCTTTATTTATATACTTTTTAGAACACAAAGTGCTTCTCAAACACACATTTACACATAAATAAACATACATACACATACATACTAACATATGGATGGATAAAACAAGAGGAAAGGAGTTCAAAAAGAAAAATAAATAAATAAAGACGGAGAAGCAGATCTATAAAAAGGCTATTAGAGATCCTTCTGATTGGGGAATGTGGAGCTAAAACAGCAAAGGCAAGGTCACATTAGTTTTGCATTTGGAGCCGGTGGTTGATGGAGAAAAGGAGCGAGCGTGGAGGAGATCAGAAATGTAACTGGGAGCGAGGTCATGAAGTACATAAAATGTAATCAACAGGATTTTGTAGTTGATTCTGAATTTTACAGGAAGTCAATGGAGGGACGACGGCGGCTGGTTCAAAGCCGGCTGCTCGACAAAGGCAGAGAGTAGTAAATCCAGTTACCGTAAAACTTCCAAATAAACGCAGGTCTCCAATAGAGGCCTGGTCTGGATTTTATAGAAATTATCTCGATGTATAAAACCTCTTAAATCCCACCAGGTTGCCTGCTTGAGCGAGTTTTAAGTCGTTTTGATCTCCTACACTAATCTTCTGTCAGTATGTACCTGCTGCACATCGTCAGATCAGTTATAGATTCTCCACAATTCAATCGTTCAATATTTTACAAAAACTATCAACAACAAAAGTATAACGTTAATTCATTCTGAATTACCGGTAACACGGTAAACAACAGAGACAGAAAAAAACCTCTGAAGCATCATAATCATCATGTTAGTTGTCAAATTTGCTGAACAAAACTCAAGAGAACCTGGAATTAAAGGCCTGTCCCAAATAGAGGCCTGTCCCCAATAAAGGCAGGGGGAGTTCAGTGATTAAAGCAAATAAACATCCAGGCTACTATTAGAAGTTTACAGTAATCTGAAATTAAGGGAAAAAGGGTTTTAAAGTGTTCAACTGACTGAATGTAATTCCTTCATATTATGTATTTATTGTACTTCCTGTTGGAAAAGCTTCAGGGAATACGATTGATTGAGGGGAAAACATAATATCAGCAAACAAAATGTGTTCTTTAAGCTTTCTAACTACTATTGTTTAAATGATACTACTAATAATTACCTTTATTATATTATTATTTTAATATGTTTGTCATTTAAATGTAGCTGGACCACAAATGATCTGGCAGTTACTGCTCATCTGTGAAGCTAGTTTAGCTGATTTTTATTCTCCGTGACTGGATTTAGCTTCTGTCTTATTAATGTGGGATAATAAACTAAATAACCAAGATGTTAGCTCACTGAAATTTATATATTGATCAATTTTATAACAGTTAGGGGGTTCAGTCAAGTTTATATGAAGCTGCATTTTGGCTTTGTAGGGTAGAATAAACGCTTTAAGGAGGCCCAGCTGAGGCACGTGTTGAGGGAATTACAATAATCTATACAGGGGAAAATAAAAGAAACATCAGATTTTTGCAATATTTCTTAAGATGGGACAAGCTTTATAGCATTATGGTCTAAAATGACACCAAGATCCTTAATGATGCACCACTGTGTCTTCAGGAGAGGGACAACCTGTGCGATGCCGAGGAGAGGTGCGAGGGCTTGATAAAGAGCAAGATCCACCTGGAGGCCAAAGTCAAAGAGTTCTCCGAGAGGATGGAGGAAGAGGAGGAGATCAACGCCGAGATCACCGCCAAGAAGAGGAAACTGGAGGACGAATGTTCGGAGCTCAAAAGAGACATCGACGACCTCGAACTCACCATCGCCAAAGTGGAGAAGGAGAAATACGCCACAGAGAATAAGGTGCCTCTGATGACCGCGGCGTGCCTCTTCGGTTTAAGTGTTTTAACACTTTTAACGCTCAATAAATCGCCTCCTCTCTCTCTGCAGGTTAAGAATCTGGTCGAGGAGCTCACCACTCTTGAGGAAAATCTGATGAAGTCTTCAAAGGAGATCAAAGCTCTGCAGGAGGTGCACCAGCAGACGTTGGATGACCTCCAGGCCGAGGAGGATAAAGTCAACTGTCTGGTGAAGACCAAAGTCAAGTTGGAGCAACAGGTCGATGACGTAAGTGCAGATAAAGACCAACGTCTCGATATGACGTGTGTCTGCGCGAAGGCCATATTGGGGAGGTGAAGATCAGCTAGTTAACAATACTGAGAGATTAAGACTGCACAACAAAATCGACTGTAACTCGCTTAATCCTGAACCGATTTTCATGAAATTTGGTTTGTTATAAACGGGGGAAATTGACCCAGATACTAGTTAATTAATGCTTCAGGCATGTGTGGTGTTTGGATATTCAGACAGACGAAATATACAGACAGGCACTGATAACAAAAAAGAAAAAAGGAGCAGCAGTTTGGCCAAAATACAGAATGAAAACAATGAATATATGAATGCCAGAGTGTGTTAGCTGGTGCATAAAGTATCAACACATGGTAACAAAAACAAAAACAAGCACTCAGGTGGCTTAGTAACAATGTAATATGTATAGAAATCTACATTTTTAGCTAAAATCATAAATAATTTACGCTTGATGTTCTAGTAGAAGTTATGGCCATTCAGAAGGTTAATGTTTAGGCATAGAGCTAATTTGAATTGTTTAGAAATGTTCAGAATTGAGCGAGTTACAGTCGGTTTTCTAGGGCAACCTTCCCAATATGGCGACCACGTAGACTTATAGCGGCGGCGAATGAGGTACCTATTATTAGTGGACTGTTGAGGTCCGGTTTCCTCGGTTGACGTGCAGCTCTGGACTCTTGCAGCTGGAGGGCTCCCTGGAGCAGGAGAAGAAGGTGCGTGCAGACTTGGAGAGATCCAGAAGAAAACTGGAGGGGGATCTGAAGCTGTCCCAGGAAACCATCATGGACCTGGAGAATGAAAGACAGCAGATGGAAGAGAGACTGAAAAAGTAAAAGTTGTTTATAAACCTAAAACTTCATGTAAATTAATTTAGGCTTAAATTCCATGAAAAAAAGAAAAGAAGTATAGATGTAAATGTCTGAAGATTTGTAAATAATGTCTGATGCCACCTGTAATGTTTTAGTTTGAGTTAAAATATCTTCATTTAGGGGCTTTATTCCTCTAGATCCACCCCTGCATGACAGTGACTTCACATGAAAAAAACTGCATTTTTAGCAATTTAATTGTAAAAACTGTGCCAATCTCAATAATCAAATAATAAATGTTTTCTCTGCTGATAAGAATAAAATTAATTATTTTCAGAAAGGACTTTGAAATCAGCCACCTGCAGTGCAAGATGGAGGACGAGCAAGCCCTCGGCATTCAACTGCAAAAGAAGATTAAAGAGCTTCAGGTATCTCCCATTGGCCCATTTAAATACATTTTCTCTAATATACTTAACATTTTAGTTAAGATAAGTTAATACAATTTCACTGCAGGCTCGCATTGAAGAACTGGAGGAGGAAATCGAGGCCGAGCGCTCGGCTCGAGCCAAAGTGGAGAAGCAGAGGTGTGATCTGTCCCGGGAGCTGGAGGAGATCAGCGAGAGGCTGGAGGAGGCCGGAGGAGCCACCGCCGCTCAGGCTGAGCTCAACAAGAAGCGCGACTCAGAGTTTCAGAGGTTGCGCCGCGATCTGGAAGAGTCCACCCTGCAGCACGAGTCTATCGCTGCGACGTTACGCAAGAAACAGGCCGACGGCGTCGCCGAGCTCAGTGAGCAGATAGACAACATTCAGAGAGTGAAGCAGAAACTGGAGAAAGAGAAAAGTGAGCTGAAGATGGAGATCGATGACTTGGCGAGCAGCATGGAGAGTGTCCTGAAAAGCAAAGTAAGAGACGCATGAACTGTTTTCTTAACATTAAGAGTTTATTTTGCTCGTGATAACCGATGCTCAATATTTCAGGCTAATCTGGAGAAACTGTGCAGGAGCCTTGAAGACCAAATGAACGAATACAAGACCAAAGCAGATGAAGCCCAGAGGTCCCTGACTGATTCCACTACACTGAGTGCTCGCCTACAAACTGAAAATGGTACGTTACTGAAAGTAAACTTAAAAAACAACAATTATTTGAACTGATTTTATTTGGGTTTTGTCACATAGTGGCATGACCTTCACGTGTTGCCATATATGGATCATATAACCAAAACATAATCCTCTTATATTGATATATTTAGAAAACTAATAATAATTTATACATATATAATAAGTTCTGAGTGGAGGTACACTTTCACTACTCCAGCTGGAGGTGAGACATGGCATCCATAATCCATTGTGTGTGAGATGGGAGTGCTACCGATTTCCATTTAAGTAGGATGAGGTGATATAGCCTCTGGTTGGGAAATGATAAAACAGCAATTCATGTGGACGGTTAAGTTAGTTTGTGTCCTCTTTTTCCAAAATAGGTGAACTCACACGTCTGCTGGAAGAGAAAGAGATCACTCTGTCCCAGCTGAGCAGAGTGAAATCTGTCGGGAGTCATCAAATCGAAGAGCTGAAGAGACTTTTGGATGAAGAAATTAAGGTCTGCGATGACAAAATGTTATTATTTTAGATAGAACTTGTAACAATTAGCCAATTAATCGATTAGTCAAATAGTCGAAGACAGAAAATGAATCTGTAAACCACTTTGGATAATCAATTAATCGTTCTCGCCTTTTAAGCAAAACTGTTAAATATTCTCCGGTTCCAGCTCCTCCAAAGATGATGATCTTCGCTGCATTACGTTGGAAAATAACTTCAACCACAGCTTTGTTTTGCTTTCAATGTTTGTCACTAGTGCTCAAACAATTAGTCGATTCATTGATAAGACAATCAAAAAATATAAAAAATGTGAGGATTAATTAGTTAATTTTTACACTAAAGCAGTTTTAATTCAGGCAGTAAACCACGGTTATATATGTTTTTGCTTTTTAAGGCAAAAAACGCCCTGGCTCACGGTTTACAGTCGGCTCGCCACGACTGCGAGCTGCTCAGAGAGCAGTACGAGGAGGAACAGGAGGCCAAAGCCGAGCTGCAGCGCTGCCTGTCCAAGGCCAACAGCGAGGTGGCTCAGTGGAGAACCAAATACGAGACCGACGCCATCCAGCGCACCGAAGAGCTCGAGGAGGCAAAGTAAGAACTGCACAGCGTTCTCAGCGCTGATGGGTTTCTTACGCTTTAACACAATTTATCTTTGCTTCAAAGAAAGAAGCTGGCCCAGAGGCTGCAGGAGTCTGAGGAGATGACAGAGGCAGCAAATGTCAAATGTGCATCGCTGGAGAAAACCAAGCAGAGGCTGCAGGCTGAGGTCGAGGATCTCATGGTTGAGCTGGAAAGGTCAAACGCGGCAAATGCCACCTTGGACAAGAAACAGAGGAACTTTGACAAGGTATGTCAGAAACATGCTCATTTGCATCCTGTTAAAGCCGCATTCGTTACACAAGCTGTTTCCTCCTCTGTTAGATTCTGGCCGAATGGAAACAGAAATATGAGGAGAGTCAATCAGACCTGGAAGTCTCCCAGAGAGAGTCCAGAGTGCTGAGTACAGAACTCTTCAAGCTGAAAAACTCGTACGAAGAGGCTATGGATCATCTGGAGAGCATGAAAAGAGAGAATAAAAACCTCCAGCGTAAGGGTTCTGCATCAAAGAAACCATCCATTAAGTGAGGGAGTTATACTGTTTCTGACCAACAAAGATGATGTTTTTCTTTACATTTTCAGAGGAGATCACAGATATCACCGAACAAGTTGGACAATCCACTAAAACTATCCACGAGCTGGAGAAAGCTGCAAAGCAAGCAGAACAGGAGAAGAGAGATACCCAGGCAGCTCTGGAGGAAGTCGAGGTTGGTATTATCCTGTAATGACACCAAACCGCCATTCTTCATTCAAATAACCTCAAGTGTTGTGTTTCTTTCGCTGTAGTCTTCTCTGGAACATGAGGAGGCCAAGATCCTGCACCTTCAGCTGGAGCTGAACCAGATCAAGTCAGAGGTGGACCGAAAGGTGGCAGAGAAGGATGAAGAAATCGACCAGCTCAAGAGGAATCACCAGAGGACCGTGGACACGCTGCAGAACACGCTGGACGCCGAGACGCGTAGCAGAAACGACGCCATCCGGACCAAGAAGAAGATGGAGGGAGATCTGAACGAGATGGAGATCCAGCTGGGTCACGCCAACCGCCAGGCGGCAGAGGTCACCAAACAACTGAGGAATCTGCAGACCCAGCTGAAGGTTTGTTAACGCTCACAGACATGTTAACACCGATATAATGGGTCGTTTTAAACCCCACATGACATGGAAAGCGGGTGGTATTTGCTTCCACATATTTACATTAATATTGGTCGAAATCTGTAAACGTGCATCACATTTTGTTTTACAGGAAGAACAAATTATTGGCTTTCGGTATAAAAGTACAAAGAAATTGATTTTGTTGTCAATTAATTTAGCATACATTGTAAAATAAAGGTACAATATAACTGTAGATGTAATATTAAAGGGTTATAAAGGCATTATTCATTTAATTCCATCTGGACTTTAAAGCTCCAAGCTTTTACTTTCTGTCCCAGGACATCCAGGTCCACCTGGATGAAGCGCTCCACAGTCAAGAGGACTTAAAGGAACAACTTGCTATCACGGATCGCCGCAACAATCTGATGATGGCCGAGAATGAGGAGATGGTGGCGGCGCTGGAGCAGTCTGAGAGGAGCCGCAAGCTGGCTGAACAGGAACTGATCGACGTCAGCGAGAGGATTCAGCTGCTCCACTCTCAGGTTAGATGATATATAGGACATGGGAGGACAGGACGAGACAAGCCGGGTAAAGACTGAACAGGACTAAACATAGACTAAACACACAATAGAAAAGGGAATGGTGGCTAATTTACATCACTAATTTCCACTCAATTTATTTAAAGAGCACATTTAAAAGCAAGTGTTGACTAAAGTGCGGTACAGAGAAATTTAAAATACTGTTAAGTAAAAATAACAAAGAGCAAATAACTGTAACAAACAAGCATAAAAAGGTGGATCTTTAGCCCATCTAGAGTTGTTCACTTTCCTTTTAGCTGCAACGTTTAGTTCTTTTAATTACTGCTGAAGCAAAACCAGCTAATTATTCTGTGTCTGAGTGGTTTACTTGCTCACAGTGTTCTGGGTTTATAAAGCCAATACTTTTACCATCAAAATATACCCTGATCTTGATTTTGGGAATCAGTTAAAAACATCATCACCTTCTTTTTCAACATATTTCCATTAGAGTAAACCAACTTTCCAAAATCTAGGGAAAGACATGCACTGACATTTTGTTTTGAGGGGCTGCATTTTTCATGAACACATGCAGATATAGTTTTACATCTTGAGATTAACACTCATTGGTCTGTTTTATTGTAAAAAGACGTGTACCTGTAAGGTGATCACACCATTTCAACATGGCACAGTTTAATCTCTGTGTCCCGCGGAGGCACGCCTATAAAAAATGATAAAAGTTTTATGATATGACTCTGATTTAATTTGGTCTGTCTTTAATAATTACTGTCTGCTCACATTTATACAGCCACAACAGCACAGATGGTCAGTGTGCTTTCGTTTGGATATGAGAAAACCAAAATTGGGAAATGAGACACTGAAAAGAAAAGTACACTGACTGCAAATAAAAAAAATATTTACTGTTTAATTTTGTATTTGTAGGGCAGCTCAACCAAAGAGGACAAATTAAATGCTCCAACTATAAATGTACCTCCAGTGGGATTGTTTTGTGTGGGATCCAAACCACTCACAACTTAAATGAACGTGTCCTCTTTACATGTCGTCTAATGATCAGAACGCCAGCCTGCTGAACACCAAAAAGAAGACGGAGGCTGATTTAGTTCAGCTGCAGTCAGAGATGGAGGACACCGTCCAGGAGGCGAGGAATGCCGATGAGAAGGCCAAAAAAGCCATCATGGATGTAAGTCTTCGGCCCCTTTTATCCAATTTAGAGACATTCCAACGAGGAAACAGCTGGTCTTTGAGGTTTTTCGGTCGTGCAGATTAAATTTCACAGAGAGATTAACATTTGCTCACAGGCCGCCATGATGGCGGAGGAGCTGAAGAAAGAGCAGGACACCAGCGCTCACTTGGAGAGGATGAAGAAGAACCTGGAGGTGACGGTGAAAGACCTGCAGCAGCGCCTGGACGAGGCCGAGCAGCTGGCTCTGAAGGGCGGGAAGAAGGAGCTTCAGAAGCTGGAAACCAGGGTATGAGTGAAAGAAGGTCGAAATCATTATGTGGAGGAAAAAACAGAATGAAAAGTGGGTTAAACAAACTGTATTTTTAAGGTCCGTGAGCTGGAAAATGAACTGGAAGCAGAACAGAAACGCAGCGGCGAGGCTATGAAAGGTGTGCGGAAATACGAGAGGAGAATTAAAGAGCTCACTTATCAGGTAAATCCTGTTATGAATAATGAATCTGATTTTAAAAAGAATGAGGTGTGAGAGTAATCCCTCAAATGTTTCAGGGTGAGGAGGAGAAGAAGAACGTGGCAAGACTCCAGGATCTGGTCAACAAACTGCAACTGAAAGTGAAAGCATATAAGCGTCAGTGTGAGGAGGCGGTGAGTAAAAATACACAGTGTGAATAAGTGTTAGCTGGACGCGTACCTAAAACAACGCCTCCCTTTCCCATATTGTTTTCTGTGACACGCAGGAGGAACAAACCAGCATCCATCTGGCTAAATTTCGGAAGGTGCAGCATGAGCTGGAGGAAGCTGAGGAACGAGCTGATATCGCCGAGTCCCAGCTGAATAAATTACGAGCTAAAAGTCGTGATATTGTTGGTAAAGGGGAATAGAAATCTACACTGGTAACCAGTCGTTGCTGTGAAAACCATTTATCTCCAGATTGTCACTTTCTTCGTGATTTAAAGCTGTTTGTTTTTACAGTCAGCACTCTGATTTCCAATTTCATGTCGACTTTAATATTTGTGACGATGCATTTTTCAACTAATCCAGTGGGTTTTAAGATGGTTTATTTAGCTGTAGAAGGAGAACTTTTGCAACCTAAAGTGTAAAAGATCACTTAGACTTTCAATTAATCTTAAATAAAATGTAATCTGTCAGTTTCAACATTATTTGATCATTGGATGACAGTAAATATATGTAATGTTAGCATTATTAGGATTGGGGACTTCAAACGTCGGTGGTCTGACGTGGTCGTTTACCAGGCAGGGAAGGAAAGATGCAAACAAGTTACATTATGGGAAATGTACAAGCCATATGGGGACTAAGGGGCCGGTCACACAGAGACGCAAGAGATGCAGAGACTCTTATGGTGCATTTCATTTGAACTCGGAAATTTTATGAGTTCCCAGTCAGAAATTTCACCCCAGAACGGCCCTTGAAGTCGGATTTCCAACTAGAAAACTCAGAAGAACCTCACCAACCTCGACTTCAAAATCCAAGATTCTGTTTATTGGCACTTCTGTCTTTTATTCCTCATTAAATCAGTCGTGGACGTGTTTGTATGAGCAAAATACAGCATAATGTATGTTGCTAACAATGGCTAATGGCTAACATGGCTAGAGCTTGGGTTTCCAACTTGCTGTACTGGATTTTGGTCAACTCGGATGTCATTCCCAGCTCCGACTTTGGACTTCCAAGATGAATGGAACGCACCAACAGCTTAGCAAATTACAGCAAAACAAGTTGATTTTTTTCAACGTTGTCCTGATGTTGCTGGATGAAAAGTTAATGAATCACCAAAGTCCTTCGGATTCATTCATTGTTGAGATAGTTAAGTCTGGACCAAAGTCTGTCTATGTAAAGATTGAGTGACTCAGAGTGGGAACATTTTGAAAATGTTCAAAAGAAGGTTTCTTGTATGGACACAGCATCTGGTCACCATTCTGTGTTGTTAATCCTGGGATCAGTCGACACGGAGCTAAATAAACAGTGACAGCTCAACATGTTCCAGGAATAGTGTCCACACAGCAGTTATTTGTGCACTGACCTGAACTAAAACCTCATTCTTACACTAAGACACAGAAAAATGCTTTTGTTAAAGTCTTTGTGCCGGTCAAGCACTGTTGAATTTATCTGAACTAAATATTATAAACCTGAAACACAGTCACACAATCAAAAGGATCTTAAACAGCAACAAGACTTAAAAATAAATCACAGTTTTGTCTGTAAAAGTCTCAAGAAAGCCTTGTTTTAGTCTTGTTTTGGTACCTGATATAAACATTTATCACACACTTTATCCTGTCTTTCAACATTATTCCTTTTTGTTTCTTGACCCAATAAAAACCATAAACTCTGCTGCCTATTTCCCTTGAGATGCTGTTTTATTTCTTCACATTTACATCCTGAATCTTTTCAACTAACAACAAAAAGGAAAAAGCAGAGATATATGAGACTGTAATCTGATATGATGGATAATAAAATAGCCTATAGTTGCTTACCAGAGGGAATATTATTGTGGTTAGTAACAAAAATGCAGCCACAACCTAATTTCCTGATGAATGAATGCATTAAAATAACACTGTTGCACTCAGACTGTTACTTATCTAAAAACTGAAGCACGCAGCTGATAATGAAAATGTGTTCATTAACACTACAGTCACTCACCAATTCAACTGTAAAAAATCACATTAGCGTCGGCTCACAGCTACAAAAACAAGAGATCAGATAAAAACAGAACAGAGGCCTGACATTTGGGCGTTTGTAGAAGAGCCTGCGAGTTAAAATGGAGCTCATCAAAATCTGCCTTTTTTTTTCACTGCTGTCAGCGGCAATCAGCAGCAGCTGGTATGTTCATGACATTTGTAGAAATCCCTATGAAGCAGGGTTAGGGTTACGGCGCGGTGCATGTGTGACTTTCAGCAGAGGAAGGTAACCTCCAAGTGAGGAGAAAGTACAAAGAGGAGGACGGGTGGGACGGGAGGAGCTGACAGGTTGTTGTTTCCATCACCGCGTCACCATCAGACTATAGGTTGTTCATTCACAGCAGCGGCCAGTAAGGGATTAATAATACTACAGTAATAGTATTACTTTCCCCAGTGTCACTAATTGCTACATACATTTATTGCTTGGACGATGGAAACATTCAGCAGCTGGAAATATTCCCATTACTTTGATTTTAACAAACAAAACGCTCACAATTACTAATTACAATTACTAGTTTTAATATAGGGACTAGCAGAAAAGTAATATAAGCAGTAGTTTAACTAATTACTGTTGGCAGGGAGTAATTAATAAAGTAATAATATTACTTTGAAAAGAGTAATGAGTAATAAATAAATAAAAATTTGAGTAACTAGACAAACACTGACAGTCGAAAGGTCTGTTTTGGTAGCAAAAATATTTATATGAGACCGTTACTTATTTTTACTAAGAACATTAGAGTCTACAGTATGTAAATACAGGACACAATAATAAGAAATAATAGTAAATAAGCAAACAGTAGAGTTCTCATTAAGACTGAAATAAAGAAAAACTCCTTTTGCATCATATGGGACAAAACTGACCTAATTTTCACCAGTTGATAAAATAAACAATAGGCACATACGAGGTAATTTACCCACATAAACAGGATTTTAAGGTTTGTGATTTCTCCTTCTTACAGAGCCTATAAATACACACACACTCTGCCTTATCAGATATTAAGAGATGACGTATTTCCAAGATGACAAGCTGCCGTTCACACTTGTTTCCGCGCACTACTCCCCCTAATATGATGAGAGCTCAAGTTACAAACACTCTCCCCTGCTTATTCTAAATGTGGTACAAAGCAGCCGTCATGTGTTGCTACCCGCGTGCGATGTTCACACAGCCCTAAGTAGAGCACAAGTTATGTGTTAACCTGTAAACAAAGCAGACAAACCAGATAACTTTAAGGTGGCTGGCTATCGCTAACTTTGGCATGGACCACACTGAGAAAACAAATCAGTTATAACAACATCATGTATTTAAATTAATCTGTTTTTAGTCTTTGTCCAAAAATATTAAAATCAACATCAAGCCTCTCTGTACATGATAGTTTCATTTGTCTTTTTAATTGGTGGTGTGCCACAGGGCACGATTCTTGGCCCATTTCTTTTTAATTTAATTGCCATGACTGAAGCTAGAATAATGTAGTAAAACAATAAATAGACATGGACTAAGCTACAAAATTACTAAAAAGTAATGTCGACATTGTACTGACATCTGTCTGAAGTTTAATCCAGTTAATCCAAGCAAGGTGCCTTGGAGGTGAATGAGCAGGTGGTCCTTGAATCCAGGATGAACACGAAGGTCACGATGCATCATGGAGACACTGAGTTACGCTTGGTTATACCCATAAATACCCATAAATAAAACACAATGACAGTCTCTAAATCAGCATTATCAGACCAAAAAATGCATTGAATAAGCAAGTCATTAAATGCATTAACCTTCACATGTGGTGTTACCCAACAGCAAACGCAACATAAACGTTAAGTTGCTAATGACAAGTCCTGACAGTATGGAAGGCATGTAAAAATAGTGCTTGAGGATCATCACCTGCTGCTGCTGACATGTTCCTATTACCACTAGAAGATCCTGTCCCATATTTAAGTGTGGAGCAGAGATCGATAATGCGACTTGATTGACGTTTGAATAGTGACATTGCCAAGTTTGGAGCGTCCGGTTTGCTTCAGCAGCACATTCATCTTGATAAAAGGAGCCTCAACCTCCCGCTGGTGTTCACTTAGAGACGTGCCATTCACTGACCATCGGTAAGATCTGTCATTTTCCCCTCTGAAATCTGTCAACAACACAACAGAACCTCTGATTCTGTTCTACTGGGGTGTGTGAACCCGGTAAGTAAGATACAAAAGTATAAATAATTTAAAAAGAAATGTATTTTTGACTAATTGCACTTAATTGTGCCTTTTTTCATCCTCAGATATCAACATGAGCAGCGATGCCGAGATGGCCCAGTACGGGCCAGCGGCCGTCTTTCTCCGCAAACCCGAGAAGGAGAGAGTGGAGGCTCAGAACCGACCGTTCGATGCCAGAACAGCCTGCTTTGTGCCCGATGCCAAGGAGCTGTACATCAAAGGCGTCATCCAGAAGAGAGACGGTGGCCAAGTCACCGTGAAGACTGAATCCGATGAGGTAAATATTTCTGTGTACAGCGTCAGTGATTTATCATACTTTATAGTAATAATGCTGATGAGGTGCAGACATTTCAAATCAATGTACAACTTACAACAATAATAATGTATCATTCCAAACAATAAGATCATATAGTACAGAAATGAAGTGGAACCAATGGATGCAGGGAGGGTAAATTTGTGATAAATGGGCTGTAACATGCAAAAACAGCAGTATGGGACTTTAGGCCTCAGCTGGTTTGATGTTTTATTTGTTTAAAGAAACCAACATTTTATAATTTTTTAATGTTTCATATTCTAGCTGGTTCCTCTGTGCTTTCTGTCTTTATTTGACTAATCATTGTAGTTTCCCACAAGGATTTTATCACTGGAACAAGTTGCCTTACATTTTTAATAAATTATACGACGTTTTACTTCCTCTCGCAATTTAAGTGCAAAAAAATGCCTAAAACGTTGCAACATGTAGTGCAACTTTTTAGAAAAGGTGCTGTGAAAGGGACTGCTGCCCTTTGTCCCTGCATTCTTGGACCAGGTCTTGGTACTTAGGGGCTTTCCTCTTGGAGGCCTCTTCATCCTTGGTGGCCTAGTTTTCATCCCAGGTCTACCTTCATCCCCCACGATCGTGCCTTCTGCAGGAGGCTCTTCTTGGTCTTCTTGGAGAAGACTGGTTTCTTCTCCTCCTCCCTGATATAAATTGGATGGATGGGGCCGGTCTCATGTGGGGCCCATCCAATCAATATCATTTCACCTTCTCTTCTCTTCTCACTTTATTTTCCAGACTGTAACAGTCAAGGAAGAAGACTGCCATCCTATGAATCCTCCAAAGTACGACAAGATTGAAGACATGGCGATGATGACCCACCTCAATGAGCCCTCTGTGCTGTTTAACCTCAAAGATCGTTATGCAGCTTGGATGATTTATGTAAGTAGTGTGTGGGAGGTTGTCATCTCTTTTTTTTGGTATGAGTGATTCTCACATGCTGTATTTTTTCATCTGCAGACCTACTCAGGGCTCTTCTGTGCCACTGTAAACCCCTACAAGTGGCTGCCGGTGTACGAACCACAGGTTGTGGCGGCCTACAGAGGGAAAAAGCGCATGGAGGCCCCGCCACATATTTTCTCTGTGTCTGACAATGCATATCAGAATATGCTTACAGGTGAGACAGAGAGCCTTGAATGACAAAAACAAGGACATATGTTGACCCTCATTATCACATATTGGCCCGATTGGGGTGCAGCCTCTTGAGGTAGCAGTGCAGCAACGCCCCCAGCACCCCTACTTCCTGCAGCAGTGTAGCCATCGGTAATCTATAACATCTACCTGAAGCTAAAAGCTCAAATTCAGTCAGCTTTGCTTCTGAAGAGTTCATTTTACATACTATTTAGCTGTTTTTGTGGCTTCCCTGCAACTTTGGAAGCCGTGTTCACTATTTCCTGTAGCTTATTCATCCATCATTCATTCATTTATTCGTGATAATACAAATTGTGGATATCTATTGAGATTTACGACTTTTTCATTGTGGAAATAATTCATTAAAGCACCTGACTGACTAATGTGTCATTACACGACATTCCTAAAAAGTAATGTTGACATTGTACTCACTGACAGCTACTTGTGGTCAACAATCAAAGTTCAAGTTTCATCACATTTTTCTAACTAAACCCTGCACATAAGAAGAAATCTTTTAAATAACGCAAACTGTTCCAGCTCTGGTGGAAAATCTGATGTTCATGTAGGAGTTTTTCAGGGCCTCACTGCACCACGTTATTGAGACAAAAATGTCACTAAAGTTCAAATTTATGTCACTGACAGATCGCGAGAACCAGTCTGTCCTGATCACGTGAGTTGTGTTGCATATTAGTAAAAACATCTTTCCAAACAGTCAGTAACACATGTGCAGTAGTATTCCTTTCAGTTGTCTTCAGCTGTCTTTCATTCTGTGTTCACAGCGGAGAATCTGGTGCAGGGAAGACTGTCAACACCAAACGTGTCATCCAGTATTTTGCGACAATCGCGGTTGCTGGTGGGGACAAGAAAGAGCATTCGTCCAGCAAAATGCAGGTAAATTCCCTCAACAGGATATAAACCTGAAACAAAGAAAAACACAATGAGATTCTGATGAAGCCGGCTGTGTTTTTATCAGGGGACGCTAGAAGATCAAATCATTTCGGCGAACCCATTGCTAGA